TTGTGTGAAATGCTATTAGAATATACAAGTCATAATATTTTACAGAAAATATTAACTTCAAATTTGTGTCCCTGCAACTTTAATGTGATTTGTTTTTATCGACATGTTGTCAATCCGAGTTTCCTCCATTTGTGTGGAACGTAGGATAACAAATAATCTTATACGAAAGATTGACACACAAACAGACAGTTCCCTAAATCATCCCTTTTTGTATTTTAATTTCTATTTGATATACAGACTTGGGAGACCAACAGTTACTAAATGCATTAAAAAAAAAACAATATAATTATGATATTTTTAATATTTTAACCGCGTGGTGCTTTTAAAATGAAAAGAAAATATTCACACAGAGTTTACCTTTAAATACATGAATTATTATTACCTGTTTGATTTTTACTTTTAATCTGCATTTTTTAACCTCTTTGATACACATTGCTTTCACTTATCTAAAGTGCAATGTTTCTTGTTGCACTTTAAAAATCCTAACATTAAAGACAAGTCATGATTAATAATTTGTATAAATTTGTATAAACATGATTTAAATAACCTCATAAATTTTCCTGATTATCTGGATCAATACTGTCTTTCTGCAAGTCAGATTGATTGATAGAAAACTGTGCATTTTGTGACTACTGAGATTTCAAAACCTGTAAATAATCAAAGTGCTGAAAGTACTGGGAAGCGCTAGGCATATTGATTTAAAATTCATCCTATTTATTTTGAATATAAAGGATAATTGCACTAAAGGATATGCGATATTTGCGTCAAAATAAACTTTCAAAACAGACATTTTTCTTTCAATTGCAGAAATGATCAACAATCTACAACTTTACTTAATTACAGTAGATAAAAGTATGTATTTACAATGTACGAATCTGTTTTCTGAGGTTGGGGTCAACGCCATTTCTTTAATCTCTTACGATAATGAGGACGCCCACTTTTTTACTGACTTTATACATAGTCAGCGCATGTTTGTCTATTGTTCTTTCTTTTAACGGTAGTTGTATATTTGCATAAGTAATGCTGTGTTAAAAGGAGATTTATAGACAAACATGCACTCATGGTAAAAAAGAGAAAAAAACTGCCTCTTCTTACCCTCGCTCTCTCTGTTGTAACCAAGGGCTGTGACACGTTGAATATTATAATTCACCACGTGAAATATTTCCTCAGGTAATTTTGTGAATACTAAATTCCGTCACGTGACTCATTGATAGCATGTTTTGTGATAACTAGGATACTGTGTTCGAACAAGTTGAATAGTCATCGATTTAAAATATTCTTTACTTACATGGATGGGCTAATGCGTTTTAAACCTTTTTACATAATATACCTGTGCCATACAAAATAAATAGGACGTTGGAAAATAGAGATCTCGTATTTTTAATACATGTCATTGTTATTTACCCAGTCTAATTCTAGATCGATTCTTACGATGTTAGCTCCTCCTCTAATACATATTATAATGTTTAATCAAGGACAGGTCAGTGTAAATTCTCTGTATTCGGAAAACCGTAAGCACAAAAAACATTAAATTAGTTATTGTATTAAAGTCTAAAATTATTTTTAACATTTAAATTAGGTGTCAAATGAACATACTTCTGTAGTAAATATATAACACTGAAATTAAGTTAATATTTAAAAGCAACAGAAGCGATCGAAAAAGACCCAAAACACGGCGTTAAGTGCAGTAATCCTTTCCTGTTGTATTGAATTTTAAGCAATATGTTGACAGTGCGACATACATGCAACAATAGGCGAGCACAGTTGTTTAATACGTACATAATTAAATAGTTGAGTTCTGAAGACTTTCTGTTGGGATATAAATTCAACATTGTCTTATGCTTTTTTTATTTTGAGCATTTTACATTTTTTTCGTCTGTGAAAAGATCAATCAATGCAATATCACATACATAGAATTGCAAGAAATAATTTCTCCGTGTATTTTTCCTTTCCCCGTCGCCTTACAGGAAACTATTAAAGTTAATATATGCGTATAAATTGAATATTTATTGGAGAGGATATGGTAGTCGACTTTTCCTATAAAATTTAGACTCTAAATGTAGCAATACATTTGCTGGAAAATGTATATTTTGAACTAATTTAAAAACCTGAAAATATCGCTAAAATTCCTCTCTTTTACGTGCAACATTGACAGTTAAAATCTTCTGGTGATCTTTTTTATAACAAATTCTTTCCGCGTTTACGAGTGTTTCAAATTGAAGATTGCATGGCATTACATCTATGTTTGTAACAATGTCATGGTACAAAACTCTACGTAAATGAAATTAACATCCGTAGAATTAACGCCGTTTATGTCAGATATAATATGTAAATATACATTTGAATATAAAGATATTAATCTTTCGATGCTATCATTTAATCTCTGATTTTGAAATACATGATTTTTAGCGTATTTACAGTAACATTGTGTTGATATAAAAATTCATGTATAACTGATTTGTAAATGAAGTTATTATTTTTTTAACAATAAATATTCCACTCTTTTCTTCTTTGGATTATTATTATGTCAATAAACCCCCAAAAATTATTTTTTTGACTATTGTTGAAATAATTTAAAAAGCTTCAAATTTTTTTACGGGTAGACAGACATCTCGGCCTATCTTACTGTTTGCTCAACATTTAATCAGCCCTATAACTTTCCATTGGTAAATACTATTATTAAGGCGTTAGCATTTTTAGCAATATCCTACACTACTACAAACAAAATTTTAAAACACGATATTCAAAGAAATAAGTTGTACTGTTTGAATGCATTCGTTGGAAACACAACCATCGCATGACCTACATACATGTATATGTAAAGCCACAAAATGCACTTTCTTTCGAAGTATTAACAATATTTTTTACCCATATGATAGAAATATAGAGCAAGTGCAAAACAAGTATAGACATTTAAAAAGTGTGTGCATTGCAATTTGTAACTAATTGATACTGAGATGCGAAATCACCTTCACTGATAGCTCTCAGCATGGTGCAGGGTGTTAACAGGAAGGCTTGTTTTAATTACACTGCCTGAAATAAAGGTCTAGAAGAAAAAATAATACTTTACAGTTTATATGAATATGAGTTATATAGAATGCACCAGATTATGTAAGTACATGTAATACATTCTAAATCAGTTTTGCGATTTTTTTACTGAATAAATCACTTCCATTTTGAGATTTAAAAATGTATTAAAGACCATCTGAGTTTTACATTTTGTATTAAATTATGTTATTTTCAATCACTATATAATTGTACAGGATAAATAATATACCGTTTTTTTTTTAATTAAGCATTTGCGTTATAGCAGTTGTAAGCTACATGAAACAAAGTTTATGTGTGCCGACCCGATTTAACAGAACTACAATGTGAAGAGAAGAGCATGAAAAGCTGAACTGCTCTTATCTACTAACTGTGGAATACCTTACTAATTGCCTCCTATTATTAGAATTGCACGTAACGCAGCATTGCATTAAAATAGCGGAAAGAGAGAAAAACAATTGGAGTTATTTAACTTGCTTAGTGGCGCTGGATCGTGAACGCATGTAGATTTACGCTGACAGAAAGCGCTTTGCACTGCGCTTAGCGCTTAAAAGGAAAACGAAAAAAAGTGTAGATCTTTACGAATTTGATTATCATAGTTGGTGAAGTCATCGTAAGTTAATATTTCAAAACACCAGGACTATTCTTTTTAAATGACCAAGTAAACCTTTCTCTATATTTGCCGTCTAGTCAAGCAACATCTCCAGGAACATCGAAATAAAGAAAGATAACTCTAATTTTGTAACGACAAAATTGTATTAACGTTTTGATTGAAAAATAAATATCTAAATATTATTTCTTTTCTTTGAATTTAGATATATGATATAAACAACATTACACCTGGTCCACTATTTTGATCTCGTCCCTGGTATCAGCCCTTGGGTGGTCTTGGCCCACGCCCTCCAGGCTTGGGCCGATACCAACCAATCCGGCTGATACCAGGGCCGAGATCAAAACAGCAGTGTGATATATATATATATATATATATATATATATATATATATATATATATATATATATATATATATATATATATATATATATATATATATATTATCTTATGACCAATGTTGAAATAAGTGCATTGCAAATAAGTATATTTACATAAAAGAATGTGCATTGTAATTTTCAATCGTATCCTAAAACATTCTCTAATAGTTTGAAAAAACAGATAGCATTCACGGTCCCAGGGAAATGAATATTGTGTACATTTTCTTTACTTCCATACCAATAAACTTTTTACATGTATTCCGCATTGTAGCTACAAACGCGTATTAATACCATATTGACACTTTTTTAAATTTCTACATTTAATCTGTAAATTTTACTCTTTTATTAGTAAATTTAACTCTTTAATCTGTAAACACAAACTAAAACCTATCTTATAGATGATAAAGGTATGCAAGATTTTTTTTTAATTTGGATACGCCAAGGGATACATATGTACTGTTCTTGTGTGCATTGTACACAGGTAATCTCTTCATACATTAACCAATCCGATCAATTTTCTATTTGAAACAACACTAGGTAAACACGTGAACGATAGATACACGTGTTGTGATAACTTCAATAAATACATCTTTGAAATGTTTACCAAGCTATTTATAGCAATATCTAAATCAGCGATATAAAGATATGAAATGCGCTGCATATCATTATACTCATAATTAATTATTTACCAAGTCTGGTCCTGGGGGTCATAAATTCCTCATCATAACATTTTTTTATTTCATAAGCTTATTTCCCTGGAGCAGAAGAGATTTTGAAATAAATACTATAGTAATACATTTTCACTGTTTAATCCCTAGGGCCAAGTCATAACACCATAACCCCTGACCCTGAGAGATACATGATGGCCCAATAAAAATGCCGTTTTTGAGATTATTTAAAATATTTACATAGTTATATAAAGGATTAATTGCCCAATAAAATCTCCATACTTTAAGGCAAACTTTAAATATAGAAACAGGAAGTTTATATAGTAAAAGGATAAAATGAAATTCCACGCCACAAAGACGAAGGATAAACTTTTTATTATTTTCAAGTATTTTACCTCCATTGTCTGTTATTACTTGACGGAAGGTAAGATTTTTGAAAATGCCATTTCTATATAACATACACAAAATAATGATGTTAGCTATCACAGATTGTATCAATGGTATCATGTTTTCTCTCATTTGCACAGGGCAAATTGTAATGTGCAAGAGGCCCGTGTGACATTAAGATCACCTGAGTATCATGTATCATGTTTCAACTTTATAATGTTCTAAATCAGAGGCCATGGATTTCACTATTTTCAGAGAGACACCATAGCTCATCATCACTTCATGCATACACTTAGTTATTTACTTAATATCAATAAGCAGAGCATGGGATCAAATTAACAGTGCATTTTACTAAGTACACCCGTCCCACAGGAATGCTTGTTCATTGGTCCGTCCTTTCACAAGTTTAGATAAGGCATCATTGCTCATAACTATGTATTTAGTGTGTTTTATTAAATCAATCTCAAGGTAGAGGAGAAAAATTTTAAAGAGATATTAAATATAATGTATTTTCACTGTGTATTCAACAGAGCAATGCCTTAGTAGCAGAATCCTGACCTTGCCCATGAGTATCATAAAAACCATAATTTTAGAAGGGGCAACCCTTTTAATCATAACAAATCAATTATAGTAATCGGCTTTATTATTAAGATAAGAGTGAAAAACAATCGAAGAATTAATGCATTTTAAGTATACAATTCTCTGAGTCCCACCCAAATTCCAGAGCCCCTGATCAAGAATCCATAAAATCCCCATAAAATTCATAATTTTGGGGACGTACTTATCCCTCTTGATAACTATGCACTTAGTCCATAGAGAATAATACATACCCTTTTCCATATCAAATCCTGTATCAGCCCGAGATTCCAGTATCAGACAGAGGACCGAATGCCTGAGGGCTGATATTGGTTGAGGGCTGATACAGGATGTGATGTGGAAAAGGGTATGTTTTATTATGTTTATTACATACTTAGAAATTTTAAAAATACAGCACACATTAAGTTTACAAGAAAATAAGTAAATAATCATGCATGGATTTCTTACATACATGTACATGGTCTATTGTCTCATAAAGTTTGGGTTTGTTTCTACTTCTATTCAATATACTCGATGTGTAATTTGAAAATAATCTATTATTCGTAAATTATAATATCCTTATTTTCAAAAAGTTTAAATTAAGAGAATATTAAGCCACCAAAAAATAGTGTATGATCACAATTACTGTTTTTGTGAATGAATTTACTAGGAGCGTGATATTGATCCGTATGATACGACTATTGTGACGTCAGGCATACATTGTAGCGCATATGCAAAAATCATGTAATTATTACTAAGTATGTAATAAATCGGCTTAATACAGAGGAGAAAACTTTGGAAAAAGCCACTCTCCCTCATCATAACTATGATTAAGTTTGTTTGTTTTTTAATGAGAAGCAAAGAAGATTCTTTTAGAAACTATAACGAATTTTTACTATATACATGAGTCCCACCCTAGCACCAAAACCTCTGATTACGGGGCCATGAAATTAAAATTTTGGTAGAGGGTTCATAGCTTATTACAAATATATCAGTGTTACAACGCACTTTGAAAAATTACGCACTTTGAATTATTTTTCAAAGTGCATTAGATTTGGGACCAAATCAACGCACTTTGAAAAAAAAAATATTTTTTTCAAAGTGCGTTGATATCGACCATATTATTGCTCTTTGAAAAAATGTGTATGCCTTGGTCAATATTCTTGAAAATCTTATACTAATTGAACCTGTTGGATAACTTTTCGGTGATAAGGTCACTTCAGGATGTGAAAGTGAGTGATTTAGATTTTTCCTTACTTTGAAAATTCTGTCTCTCTTAAATGGTTTATTGTACTTAATTTTTTTCCAGTTTGCGTGCACTTAATGTAAATTAAAATTTATTACCCAGGGATGTCCACTTTCAATTTGCTACCGACAGTTTTGTATAAGAAAAAAGATTTGGACTAAGAGACCTTTTATGTACTCCTCCTCTCCTTCTTCGCAATTAGGGTAAACCAAAAACATGTAAATTTAATTTAAACGTTTTTCGAAATATATCATTATTACAAATTGATTCTCTCAACTACTAAAAAGTAAGTCCAGAATTTTTGTTTTGTACATCTTTTTTTTCAAATTGCGTTAAATATCCACATGGTTAAAAATGTTGATGTACACTCTTAACGCACTTTTTAAAAAAATTCAAAGTATGTTGAGTTAGTCCCAAATTTAACGCACTTTGAAAAAAATTTCAAAGTGCGTCGATTTTTTTTCCAATTTTAACGCAATTTGAATTTTTTTTCAAAGTGCGTTGCAACATACATGTACCAGCAAAAATAAACTGATTTATGTCCAAGAGTAAGGACGGAGGTTTTTTTTTTTCTTATTTGTATTGAAATTGGTGGTTTAAGGCCAACCTCTCAGCCTCCAGTTGCTGGGGCCTTGAATTTCATATTTTACTTTTCTTGACTGATGTTTTAGGACAAAATTGGTTGAAATTGGTTCAGTGCTTCAGAAAAAAATGATCTTGAAATGTTCAAATGCTATCACAGACAAAAACAAATGACAACAATAGGTCACCTGAGTAAACTTGGATGACCATTTCAGAATAAAAACAAATAAATTATAAGAACTTGTAATTAATTTTTATATGTACTCAATCATTTTATGAAGTTGTTTCACATATCCCAACCCCGCCATCACACCAAACATACACATAAAGGGAGAAAGGGGAAAAGACAGACGAACAGAAAGCTATAGACAAAATCTACAAACAATATACAAGTTGTGATTATATATTGAAGGGAAAAATAAACGCATAGTAAACTTTTGAATTAAATTAAAACTCTTATTTAATACATGTTTTCCAATATTGTCGTAAAACATTTGAATTCATCTTTAATTAACAATTTACCAAAGTCTTGCGTAACTTTGACGGATATTTCATGAGTTATATATTGAAATTGATATGTCGATACACCCCAAAAATTTAAATTAAATTCTCATCATCACCCTTGCGCTTCAGTGACAGCCTTGATTCTCCTGTGCATTGAGTTCATCGGAGCATTTATATTTCTTATAGGATTAATATTTAACCCTTCCGAAGGTAGTCTTAATGGTTGAGAGTAACTGTAACATTTTAAGCGAGCAAATTCCCGCGCCCAATGAATCCCACAAGTTTTCGATTTAGGCCATAATATACATAATTCAGCTGGTTTTGTACACTTTAATGTTTGTAAGAAAGTATCGACAAACACTGGCTACATTTTCCAAGTGTTAACATGCTAAAACATTACGCATACGACGCGTACAAACGCGTATGAGAGTAAAATCGACGTTTAAAGTTGCCAAACTCGCGGACCAAATTAGAGCAGAGTTTCTGTCAATTTTAGGGTGAAAAAAATGAGTATGATTGTCCGCTGTATAAATTTCGGTTTCTGTGATAATGTCTGGACGGTAATCGAGGTGGCATGATAGAAAAGCCTATCTTCGTGACGACTGTTACGCGCCAACGTCGTCGTCATAGTCGGTTGGAAACCTTTTAAGTTACTGTCTGACAACCAAAAATAAAACTTTTTTTGGTTTAGAAGTTAAAAACAAACTGCACAGTATGGTGGCATATTTATGACATCCACATAATTTTAAGTCAACATAGTATATCATGTCAAGTCAAGATAACTATCTCGTCAAGTCATGATTACTTTCTGGTTTATCGACAAACACCGACTTTATGTCTTGTCAAGTCACGATAAGCTATCACGTTATGTTGCAGTAGCTATCTTGAAATGACGAGATAACTTTTAATCGCGATACAAGATAAATTATCGAGTTTTGTCGAGATAGCTATCGCAAAAATACGATAGCTTATCTTGCCTGTACAAGATAAAAGTCGGTGTTTGATGACAAACCAGAAAGTTTTCATCACTTGACGAGATAGTTATCTTGACTTGACGTGAAATCTTATCTTGACAAAAAATGATGTGGATGGCATAAATATGCCACCATAGCACAGCAAACATGTTGTTGCCTATTTATTCACTTATGGAATTTAATTACTACACCCAATGTAACTTTCTTAAGCCATACCATGAATGCTAAAAAATTATACTGACTGCAAATATGGACAAACGATCTAAGTGACTCTAATGCATCGTTTGGCACTACGGAATGTGATCACACAATTGTCATCATCAATATGCACGTGTTTTTGGCTTTTTATTACTTTCCCTACGCGACGCCATACATTTCATGGTTAAAAAGTTTTAACCAGCGATTTAAGCTGACATGAATTCTTAAAAACGCAACATTTTCATCTATACGACTTGTTTCATACCAACAATAGCCGTATTTCGCCATATTTCTTTCATATACCTTGTCTTATTGTAAAGATATATACCCGAATGCACTCGTTACCCTTGATTGATTTTTTTTGGCTTGGCTATCGACTTGTGCACATCTCCGATGGTAAAGCTATAAGAACAGATGAGGTCATCAAGACATTTCAAAACCACAATAAACAACATAATAATGATATCTCTGAATAGTTATTAATTTGAATCAAAAGAAAAAGAAAAAAATGCAAGTTCGGAAGAGAAAGAATCTGGGGGGGATTAGGCGAGTCATATGCCTACGCAAGGGCAGATAAAACATCAATTAAAATTCTTTATCCATTGATTTTTAGATATTAATCGAAAAAAGATATTTAATCATAACGATAAAGTATTGTTGATATGATAAAATAAAGATAAAGTTATATCGATTTTTGTTTATGAATATTTGCGATAGAGAAGTTAGAATAAAGTGTTTTTGAATTATTTTGGCGGGGGCGGCAATTCCAATGAACCTTCACTTCAATCAGAATTCAGTGAAAGCTTACATTGTATGCATCATGTCAGCATGTACGATTAAAGATATGAAATAAAGATTGTGAAATAATCACGTGACTTATGGCCGGGTAGTCATGAATTTCTGAGCTTCGACGTTTTTGACCTTAAGTGTGTTCTTCTTGATCGGGGATTAAAAATA